TTAAAATTGAATTAAATATGGCAATAATAATAATACTCACAACAACAATAATAATACCAATAATGATGATGATGACAATGAATACCTAACTGAAGAAGAGGAAATTCACACCAGACATCATGAATTCTCACCGAGCATTTATAACATTCTTCAAATTGGCTTTGAATTTAGGAATTGAAGTATCAAAAACACCATACGTTATGGTTGCCGAATATGTATTATATAATCTGCATAATCTATTGACTGGGGTATCGTATTTATTTATGTTGAAAGATATTTGTTGTGGACGAACTCCTGGTGGCGGTACGTGAAGAAAAATTTCACTAATTAGGAACATACTATCTACCTGTCCATTCAATAATTCAGCAAGTAAGATTGAGCTTATGAGGATTATTCTACGTTCAAGAGTTTCTAAACCGAATTCTTCTCTAATAGGACCATAAGAAGTGAAACTAGGAGACAGTTTATATTTTTCGTAATATAGGAATTTTAGAAATTTATTTTGGATTGTTTCCATCATTTTTTTCATTTTTTGTTGTCCTGGATCCCATATAGTACAAGCATATTCTATCTTGCTTCGAACAATTGTGATGAACAAGTGTTTAATGACATTTGTATCTGTGAATTCTTGTGTGCTACGTTTCAAGAAACCGGACAACTTATTGGTTTCTTTCACAATATTCTGCATGTGTAGAGTATACTTGAAGTCACTTTGAAATATTACTCCAAGGTCACATATTTTGTCGACTCTTTCTAAAATAGTATTTTGCATAGTGTAAATGAAATTGTGTCTATTATTGTTCCGAGAGAACGTGATAACTTTACATTTAGATAGATTGAATGATAATTTATTTTCCAAAGACCAATTCACTATCAGATCTAGATCATTTTGCAGTTCAAGATAATCATTGAGATCATGAACTTTTCTATACATCTTGGAATCATCAGCATATAGCAAACAATTTGATGGGATCCCTTCTAGAAGGTCATTGATGGAAATTGAGAAAAGTAATGGACCCAGGTTTGACCCTTGTGGTACACCTGAGCCCGCCAAGAATGAGTGAGATTCCTCACCTTTAAAAGCAACATGTTGTTCTCGTGCCTTCAGATATGAGACGAAAAAAATTATCAAATGATCACTCAGTCCGTAGAATTTCAACTTAGCCAATAAAATATCATAAGAAACCTTGTCGAAGGCTTTAGCAAAATCCGTGTAAATGCAATCAACCTGGATTTTTTCATCCATACTTTTACTTATATTTGTACTGAAAGTCAATAAATTTGTTTCTGTTGATCTTTTCCTTGTGAATCCATGTTGGTCAGATACAATATAATTCAAGGCAGTATGTAGTTTCTCGTGAATGATAAATTCAAAAATTTTTGCAATACAGTTTAGTACGGCAACCGGTCGATAGTTATTCATTCCATATTTCGCACCTTCTTTGAAAATCGGTGTTATTCGAGTCTTTTTGAACTGGTTCGGGAATACACAAGTTTTCAGTGATTTGTTATAGATTATTAAAAGTGGATATGCTAAACAATCTTTGCACGCTTTGAAAATGTAGCACGGAATATTGTCTGGTCCAGATGACCTTTTTGGTTTTTATTTTCGAAATGCTTGTTCTAGTTCACAGTGGTAGATCTGATCAAAATGTATATTTTGGGAGAAATCAACACGCTGATTAGCTAACCTGTTAATTTCATCCAAATTATAGGTATACGTTATAGAGTCGTTTTCGTACACTGAGCATAAGTAATCCGCAAATTCTCACGCAATAATTTTTGAATCAGATACTCGGCGATTATTAATCATAAAGTTATTCTCATCATTCATTTTTTGCTTTCTATTCTTGATTAAGTTCCAAAACAGAGTACTGTCATTTTTAATGTTAGCTTGAATATTTTCAACAAAATTCTTATGAGCATTTTTGATTTTGAGTTTCAATGATGCTCTAATTCTTTTGAAATTCTCAAGGTAGTAATGGGAAAAATTTTTTCGCTTTCTGAAATATTCTTTGATTTTTATATCAGCTTTAATTTCTGTAGTGAACCAGGGTGGAAATGATTCGAAATGTCTTGGGTTTTCTGGAAACTTTGGTACTGATTCGTCGAGTATATTGTAAAAAATATGATAGAAATAATTAACACAATCATTGACGTCATGATATAGATTGAGTACAGACCAGTCAAAATCTCTGAGGAGCTTATAGAGTTGATTGAAGTCCGCTTTTTTGAAATTGTATTTATTCTGAAGGTTATTCATAGATGGCAAGTAATCAACTTCTGTTATTTCATATTCTATCAACAGGGCCGGATGATGTTTTTCATCTTTTTTAACCAATGGTGATGAGTCCTTCTGTACATTCACTTCTAAGTTACTCAAAACTAAGTCTAACATTTTGCGGTTTTCCTTCATAACATCATTGAATGATTTCAAGTTATGTGTATCTATCAGTGATGATATCGTACTAATGATTTCATTCCGATTGTCAAACTGAAATAGGATATCATCTATTTCTGGCATATTGTAGTCCCCCACAAATAAGAGAGAAGTGTTTTGATCAATTATAATGTCATCGCATAAATCAACATATTCTTTATACACCTGCGATTTACATCCTGGTGGAATGTAAGTTGAGTTTATAATGATTTCATTTCCCAAAATATTAATTCTGACAAAAATAGTTTCAATGGTTGTTTGTGTTATAATCAATGAAGAATTAAACATATTTCTTACCGCAACCATAACTCCTTTACCCCTTTTATTTTTTGTCAGTTGATTGAATATTTCAATCCTTTCTGAATACTTTATTGTTTCCATCGAACGATTCACCATCGTTTATATCTTCAGTTAGCCAAGTTTCTGTTGAAATAATGACATCGTGTGATTCTGAAAATAAGTTATTCTTGAATTCTGCTGTCTTGGTGCGAAGTCCTCTACAGTTTTGATAATAAATATTTAATAACATTTGAATTTGATAAATATACTATTTATGTGAAGAGTGATGAACAGCTCTTGACTCTGTTTACAAATAATAACTACTTGTTCAAGAGGGAAAAAAAACAACAAAAGAAATAAAACGCAATGTAAGATTGTTTCTGAAGTAAGTAGTAGAACCTACCTTAGTTGAAGAATATATAGTAATACATAAGCCCGAAATTGTTTTCCTAAATTATAATAGTTTCCATAAACTTTCAACTCTATATAAAAATAAATATTGTTAGAAATAGTGAACTTTCACCTGGGTACAAAAACTCATAGACCGGCAGTAAGGAGTCTGCAACATTTTATACCGAACCTTCGTGATCAGTTACAGGTCTTCCGCACTACACAGTTCTTTCTTGCGATCATCGTTTTGAACAAACACCTTTCCTCCCATGGTCCAGACTTGTCTATACCCATATTTTTTCTGAGCCAACTGGAACAGCTCATATCGCTCTTCGGAAAGATCTTCATGTATAGTGATACCACTATTTTTGAGCATCTTCTTAGCGAGGTAAACCTCAGTTCGCTTCAATGTTGGTACAAACTTTACCAGCGTTGTCCTTGCTCCAGTTTTATGATATGTTTTGCTGTCGAATTTATGTTGATCAATTTCATCTCTGAAATGTTTATTTTTAGTTCATGTAACTAATTTGGAAATCCATTTTTTGTTGGTATTATAGTCATGTTTGATTTGTGGATCATCCGGAGCTCGTAAATGTTTTTTATATAGCTTTTGCTTTTTTTCTATCGACCTGATTGAACCGTGAGTGATCCAGGGATTTCTTCTTTTATATTCATATGTATAAAAAAAAGTTTGAGCTGCTTCATTAATTGCTGATGTAATCTCTTTGACAAATACTTCTGCAGCTAAATGTACCTCCTCTATTTCGTTGATTCCATCCCTAGACTGAGTTTTCACTATCCCTATCAATTTTGCCTCGTCAATCCTAATAACTTAATTTTTCTCAGATTTGTGGATACGCTTATTTGTAATAATCATATTCGTCTCTGATATAATCGTGAAATGATCGGTTATGTCAGTTTTTTCATGTAAGACTTATGTTGTTTTTTTTTCGAAATTTCCACAAATATTTGGTCTATGATTGTTTGTGATCCTCTTTGTACCCTTGTATATTTGGTGATGACAGATCAAGAACCGTATTCACCCATTATATCAAGATACGTTCGACAGTAGTCCTCATTTGATTTTATATTGATATCACCCACAATTGAAACAGTATCATCTTTTTTTGTGTATTATTTTCTTCTAAATATCTCCTCAGTGCTTCATAGGAGCATGTGACACGTGGTCTGTGAATTCCAATCATAATAATTGTGTCTCTATTTAATTTTTTTCGATAAGTACTATTTTGAAAGTACCCATTTTTATCACTTCATAAGTAAGATAATTTTCATAAGTGGATATTACATAAAACATAACTCGATCATTTTGATTGATATCCCCCTCATTGCAGATTGCTTGATAGCCATCGATTTGTAGAAAGTTTATATCAACCACTTCCCACGTTTTTGTCAGCACATTAACATCGAAATTGTATCTACAATCACTTAGAAGTACAGACAAACTGTCGAAATTTTTTGAAATAATACGAATATTGCAATGAAATACTGAAAAATTTTTCGTATTTTTCAATTTCCTATTACAAAAATCAATTCCGCTATCCAACTCATTCGTGATTACTTCAGGGTTTTCGAAATCTCTTATATTCTCTTATATATGGATCCATATCTTTATCAATCAGCGTGAACCAAAACAGAGCAAAAATCACATTATACTTATATGTACGTATGGAATAGAATAATAAATTATAATAAGAAGTGGAGACTGTTTCAAAACGGAAAGAAATCTACTTGTATTATTATTTAGGCGATGAAAAAAAATAAGCGAACAAAAAAAGAGTATATAACAATTTCAATAGGTAGTCATTGTAGTCATGCAGTTCTAACGTATTTGAACATATATAGGGAATGATCAATAAATATTTTACCAAGGTTATTTGTTGTGTAAACCCTTGTGTTTTCTAGTAAGTCTGGTATTGGTTGGTGTTACACTATTTTCAGCTACCTTCCTCTTCTGCACTGTTTTCTCAGAGTTTCCGTTCACAACAACCGTTTTCTTCGAATCAGTGATCGATTCGTCGATTACAAGACTTTCTTCCTCTTCTTCTTCTTCGTCCTCGTGATATTCTTCTCCCTCTTTTTCGCTGTCCGTATATTCAAGTTCTTCTGGGGTATACAGCTTGCTTTCAATTTCAAGCTTGAGCCCTTTGATTCTCGTTTGTTTGTTTCGTTTTCTCGCTTCTTTGTGATGTCTTAGCAAGACATTTTGCTTTTCCCTGTCTTCTTCACAACGGTCGTGTAGGATTGAAATCTTTTTTCCCTTCAGCTTAGAAACGTTTTTGAAAATTGTTTGTTTCTTCAGGTATGTGATAAATTCAATCAGGATTCTTCTGTTCTTTGCTTGTTCACCTATTACGTAAATATTGTTAATATCGCCTACTGTTAAATTCAGCTGTAGTAGATTATTCAGTTGATTCAGAGTTCCCTCTACCAGAGAGTTTTATGTACCTCTAGATCAAATATCACAATATTGTTACGCCTTTTGTGCCTTTCCAGGTTTGCGCATAGATCGTTTGTCTTCTATAAATTATTGCAAAATGACAAAGTTTTCACAATCGTCCACGCTGCTAATTCTTGGCTGAGTCACTGTAATCCGTTCAAGTCCAGACTGAAAGTGCGACTACCGTAGCGCGACCTTCGCCAAACAAAGAAGGGATAGCCATGCTGTGTGGCGCGGGTGCATAGACAGAGTAAAAGCGATATAGAGGGAAAATATATTATTTTGAAGATGAAGTAACAATTTTTCACCCATGTCAATGTTGGACCGCGTTACCCTATAACCTCAGGTAGTAAAATGTATTAAATTATATAATAACCTTCACACAATGTTTGTCATAGAAATAAATTTCTTATTATAAGTATGAGAATATTAAAGTATATTATGAGGGTATAATAGAATATTATTCAACGTGAATAGGTTACATGCTTAACAAAAAAAAAAAAATAAGACGCTCAATACATTATATTTTATAATAGACAGTACTACCCAGTTTGCATGATGATATTTTTCACCGCTTGGAGCGCACGAAAGGAAATCCCTATAATCTTCTGGAGGTTATATGTTGTTGGAAATACTTCCTCAGGCAATGAATTCCAGAGCCCAGGTGTTATATGGATGAAGGAGTTTTGATAAAGTGCTGTTCGACATCTTTCGAGGTTGATGACGAGAGAATGTTCTGACTGGGCTTGTTCAGTTCGTCTGACTAGTATTGCTAGTGAAGGGATGATAGCAGAGATTTCCGAAGAACATTTCCCGTTGAAGTATCGATAGAAAAGTGAAAGGTCATCGACCTTTCTACGGTGTTCCAATAATGTCAAAGAGTGAGGGAGTGTGGCGTCACCCACCAGGCGAATGGATCTTCTCTGGATAAAATCAAGGAGCATCAGCGTATGTTTTGGTGCTGAACCCCATATGTGGGAACAATATTCTAGAAGAGGCCGTATCTGCGCTTTGAAGATCGTGAGAAGCTGTTGAGGTGTAAAGTAGCTTTTCGCACGAAACGAGAATCCGAGTTTTTGTGAAGCAGCTTTTGCGATGAATCTGACATGATTATCCCATGAAAGAGTGTTGCTGATGGAACTATCGAGCATAGATATGGTGAGCTTGGTAGAGATGGTGGTGCCAGACATTACAATATCGAGCATACTGAGTTCCGCATTTCTAGAGAAAATCTTGTCTTGTCTTGAGTTTTGGTGACGTTGAATTCAAGTATGTTGTTGGTTCCCCAGGCTGTGATTTCAGCAAGGTCTTTATTTATTTATTCATTCATTACATGGGTTACCCAACAGAGTATTGAAACTTCAATTATAGGGTTACACATTTTACATTGCATGGAGTGTACATACACTTTATGAGAATTGTTAAACAAAACAGTAAAAGAAAATTGAAATTATCCTATTATAGGTATGCAGCGCTCTTGATAGGGAAATAGTGATTCTTTCTATTCATGACAACCAACATAATTATATAATGATAATGTTGATATAGGAAAACGAAGAAAGAAAAGGAAGACAAAAATAATGTTTAACTAGGTGAAGTCTATATTTTGATTTCGACTAAATCATAGCAAACACAATGTAGCTTTCTGTCTGACTTTATAGGTAATGCTGCTGAATAGGTCAATGTGGCTGAAGCATGAGTTGTACGAGTTCTGAGTCATGTAGAGAGGTGAATTTGTTGCATAGTTGGTTGTGAGAGATGGTAGGTAAAATAAGTTAAGTGCGCGAGTGACGTGAGTGAGAGCATTGAATGAGAGCCTATTGACTATATAATTACTGTCTCTTTTGTTGTTTATGATTTTGAGAAGGAATAGTACATATCTCACGATTCTACGAGAAGAGAGTTTAGAGAGTTTGAAATGTTCTAATCGACTATGATAAATATATTAGGGGTCTTCAATTTGAACTTGAGGAACAATAAATTCATGAATATTTTGTGAACTCTTTCTATTCGTTGAATGTATTAATGGTAGCAAGGGTTCCATACTATCGAGGAAAAATTCGAGATGACTCCTCACAAGGGAGTTATATAACATAATGAATCTCTCTGGATTCGTGAATGGCTTAGATATCCTTGTAATGAATCCCAAGTTCATCAGGGCTTTATTCACTAATTTTTCAATGTGAACTTCAAGGGTTAGTTTTGAGTCTATCATCACCCCCAGGTCTTTGATGCATTCTACTTTGTCGAGTTCATCATCATAAATTTCGTAGGGAAATTGAACTTCCTTAGTTAGTCGAAAAAATTTGATGTAATGACATTTGCTTGTATTCAAATATAAATGATATGTGACACAGTAGTATATTGTCCCAATCTATACTCCTTATTTTATCATTCATAACCTCATAATTGGCTCTGAAGAAGTGTTTCTTATGGAAAGTGTTCTTACATTTCAGGTCGTTCTCTGAGATTGATAACTTGCAGAATATTTCAATTGATTTGTGATGAATATCCTCTAACACAAACGAATCTAGTAGCACCTCGATAGATAATTCTTTCAGTGAACCAAAGACCAGGTCGAGCAACTTACCATTGGAGTTTCCGATACCATTATATTGATAGAAATTCAGGAAATTTAATGCATCATCCAGACTTTCCTCAAATCCGTTAGATGTAACTGTTGCCACAAAATAATTATTTTCTAATAACCAAAGAAAAATATTTGGTTGATTATAATCACCTCACACTAGGCACTCGTCTTTATCATTGGTCTGAACTATATCATTAACTTTCAGAAGATCCGACTCTAAATAAGCAATGCTCGAGTAGGGCGGCACGTAAACACAGCACAGATTGAATTTTTTTGACTCACTCAGCTCGATAGTCACCCACAAGTCTTCACAAATTCCCATGGAAGACCAATCCTGCCGATCAGTTGCTTATAGTTCTCAACGTATCGCGATGAGAACACCCCCACCATCTTTTTTACCAGTAAGATTATAATTTCTGTCTCTTCGAGAAACATTGTATTTTTGACAATCGAATAGTTCTTCTGACCGAACTGGAGAATTCAGCCAAGTTTTGGTTAGACAAATGATTTCTGCGGTAGATTCTAAACTTGAAGTCGAAAAATCCAAGAGTCTTACTGCGTAAACCTCGAGTATTTTGATAGCAAATCGTAATGTCCATGAATAGAAGGGTGAGTTGGTATTTGACTGAGAGTTTGAGGAGAGTAATCAGGAACGGTTTATCCAAGGTTATTCATTATTTTGTGTATCGTAGATTCCTTAGCAATGTGAACACTTTTTTCGGTCCTTGGATTGCGAATGAAGATTTTGCAATCTCATACCCAGAATCTCATATTCTTCGGCTTACACAGATCTCGAACTATTCTGAATAATAACTGATTCCTGGGTGTGAGATGATCTTTGATGAAAATTTGCAGATTAGCAGAATTAATTCCGATCTCATTTGTTGAAATACCTCTATGTCCTTGAATTGCACCAATTATCGCATCCTTTCTTGAGCGGCTACTGAGTTTTACAATTATGGATTTTGGACTCTTGTTATCTGCTCCCATATGGGGCACTCAGTAGCACGATTCAAATATGGTTTGATCTTTGCATTCCAGTGCATCAAACAGGTTTGTAATGATATCCAATTTTCTTAGAGACATCATCTATTTTACTTCCAAGGAATTCCATTGAGTCTGTCACGTCTTTTTGTGTTCCTTTGATTTGCTGGATGTCACCCTGAATCGCTTTTAAATTAGCCATAATGCAGCTGAGATCCATGCTGGAGCTAACTGAAACTGTTCTTCTGTCTTTGCAGTCTGAACACATTCATGAAAGACCTGGGAAGCGCGAAAAGTCGGGAAAATTTGTTACTTTCAGACACGATAAATGATACAGTTTTTTGCAATCAGAACATTGCACTGATTTGTGTTTTTTGCGCAAACGGAGAAGACGTCTACCATGATTAGACAAAAAATGGTAAATCCCAATTGGACTGGTTTACCTGTTCGCCAACAAAAACTTCAGGTATGCAAAAACTCGTTGCTGCGTTCAGTACATTTTATATACACAAACAATATCTGAGAATGTTTCATATCTATTTCTACTCGATAATGCACTTTGGCAGCAAAAAACTCTGCTGATCACCAGCACTACACACAGACGAACATAATTATATAACTTTGAAGCAAACTATGTACTTTCTTACTACTGGAATTTGATGTTTTATCAGAGCACTTTGACAACGTGTGACGCTCAGTCTTGATGCCTATATTCATTGACAGCCTTGACTTGCCGTTTCCTGGGGGAAATGGGAATTCTGGAAGAGAACGCAGTATGGAGGGTACTATCATCTGCAAAGCTGTGGATGGGGCAAGTTGTTACTCCCAACAGATCATTGATATTGAGAAGGAATAATGTTGGTGCCAAAATTGATCCTTGTGAAACGCCGGAATTGATGCCAATGGTATCAGACGAAACAACGTCCACCACCACGTGAAGCGATCTGCCTGAGAGAAAACTCGATAAGAGATGGCATAGCTGAGGTGGTAAGCCGTATGATGGTAGCTTGTGGAGGAGTCCCTCCTGCCAAACACGGTCGAATGTTTTCGATATGTCCAACGCGACAGCTAGAGATTCCCCGTGTTTTTCTAATGAAGCCTGCTATAAATGGGTAACGTATGTATGTAGATCTCCAGTAGATCTTCGGTGGCGAAAGCCGTATTGTCTATAATTGATGATTCCTGAGCTCTCCAGATATTTGATAAACTCAATTTTGATGGCTTTCTCCATCACTTTGGAGATTACTGATAACAGGGCAATGGGCCTGTAGTTGTTGGGCAGGTTCTGATAATGCGTTGACAAAAGACGATTTCGGGCATTCGACTCTCAACGGATGGAATATCTTACAGCACTTTTTCTTGAAGTAGAGTTTTCTGCGAACATCTCTGCAAAAATATTTGCTTTCTCCTCCCTGCGATGTTGTTGCTAATGTGCTGTCGGATTTAGACAGTGGTGGAAATGAATCATTAGTGGAATTTCTTCCGACCGCTTAGGCAAGGGACCAAAACGAACGGGAGCCATTGGGACAATCTATGAGTTTCGATCTCATCTTGGCATTGTATGTTTCTTTCGAAGCATCAATTGTTTGGCTGCAGTTATTCCTGGCATCAACGTATTCTGCTCTAGTCGCGAGGTAAGGGTTTCTGCACCAGCGATGGTAGGCTGTTTGTTTCAAGGTAACAGCTCTAGAACAGTTTTTTTTTACCAGGATTTCGATGGTGATGATCTTCTCGAAGAATGAGGTATGTATGTGTCCATTCCGAGCATGATGATCTCGGATATTTTCGCAGCACACTGTGAAGGGTCCTCAGAGTCAAAGCATACTCTTTGCCAAGAAAACTCGGAGAAAAACATGCGGAGACCATCTCAATCTCCTGAATTGTGATGCCATATAAGACGTGGGGTGCCGGAGCAGTTAATGGTATGAAAAATGGGAGAAATCCTGCCGAAAATAACCTGCACATTAATATATTCAGACAATGATAGCCTGACCAATAACATTTCCCTTCCTCAGTCAAATTATTATAATGATTTTATAAGGATATAAATGATAAGGTTATTTTCAGCAGGATATTTTTGACAGGATATTTTTGGACGGGATATTTAGTCGTAGACCCCCTAGAGGGTGGGGTGGCTAAATAAATTAGTATGTTCACAATTGCAAAAGTTAGGAGAGTAGGTGTCTGCCAGGCACATACTTCGGGTTAAGGGTTTAACTAGAAACTCAAATTGCTGTGTATATATATATATATATACATTACCTATTTTGTCTGTTGGATCAATTCATTTTTATTTGTTTATATACATTTCAAGTGTTGTCAACGAGTGTGTGATTTCAAAACTAGTGTTGTTCATTTATTTATTTTTTATGTATTTTATGTGTATAACAAGCTTTGTCAACAAGTGATAACTTAAGACAATGAAGTATATTTCGAATTGAATTGAATATCAGCTGTCATCCCACAGACTTTCAGTGCCAAGGAGTTATACTTCAACTTCAGCTCCTAGACACTAGAAGTGTTGTCTAGCAACATACTGTCAAATGTCAAATCAATATTCCCTTCAAATCAAACACATCAATATTTCCGAATTTTATTATCTTCATTTACTATACTATACTACATTATTTCCAAATTCCATATTATTTCTATCCACTAGACTATAACGAATAACTTATTAAGATATCCAAATATAAGGAATTGCAATAATCATCAAATAATGCCAATTTTGCTGAATTGGATATTATTCGCGACTTCCAATGGATTTACCTTTGGGAGCGGAATAATCAGATTGTACCTAGCTGTGAACGAGACCACACCTCGACCATCTCTCTAAAAATGAATCTCCGGTAAGTGTAATTTCGATATTTTATTTGTAACTCATACATTCTTGTTGAAGGCGATTTATTTCCTTAACAATTATTGAATAAACATGTTCCATTTTTATCCGAGATCTTATTTATTAAATCTCCACCATCTGAGTTTACCCCCTAGATCGTGAGCCAGGCGTTTTTCATGAACATTGAATAATTATCAAATAAAGGGGTATTGATGAATAGGCCGGCTCGCGTTGTGTTTGTCACAAATAAAACAGTATATGTTTTAGTTTGTTCATCAAGTACATAGGTTTCGTTACCGTCACTTTATACATTCGATGATTCCATGAATGGACAAACATTACTACAATCACAACTAACATGTCTCGTCTGATCTACCTGACTAGCTAGTCTGACTCCCGTTCTTGCGCACTCTTGCGAGCTCAACTAGATTGATTGACAGCGCTAGTGCGCGGGAATATTTGAATGTCTCAATACATTACAATCCTCTACCCTTTGATAACACATAATCTTCATGAGGGAAGTTTCCCATTACGTTTTACTGAATTGTTTATATCCTTTGGGAGTTCGTCCTCTATCTGTTCCTTCATACAATTGCTTGCTGACTGCTCCTTTTGATTTTTCACTAAATTTTCTTCAACGTTATTTTCCCTATCCAAACCAATATTTTGTTCGTCCATCGCATTATTTTTCCTATCCAAACATATATCTGGTTCATCTATTACATCATTAGAGACATTTTGTAGATGATTTGTATTACCTTCATTTTCATTTTTTTGTTGTACATAATGAGAAATAAAATTTGTTTTTTGTGTTTGTACCTTCAGTGTGGCATCTGATTGAGGAGGAAATTGATCTCCCATCAATACCCTGGCTCGAACTTTATTGATGTGGCGTTTCGATAATTTTCCATCTTGTAATCGGCATAAGTATACACTTCTACCAATTTTCTTTCTACTATGGCCTCAATTCAGTTTTTCTTGTTAACTACTCTGTAGTCTCTAACCATTACTGTACTTGCCTCTTCAAATTGTGTGCTCCTTCTTCCTTTAGTTGCTGATATCTGGTTTTCCTGATTTCTTTTTATTGTTCCCATAACGTCCAGGTTTTCTTCGCTGGGAATTCCATTGTTTTTCCTCAATATGCTCAACCTGAGTCTTGGTGTGGTTTTCAACATTAGGCTTGCTGGGCTCCTCCCAGTTGTCATATGTTGTGAATTCCTGTAATGCAATAAAAATCGAGATATCAGTACATTTGAATCAGTTGTTTTGTTTTAGGATCTTCTAAGGCACTTTTAATTTCGTACTTGAATGTTTTTACGTTAATTTCCGCTGCTCCATTTGATGAGGGATTATGAGGTGGTGATGTGATATGTTTTATTCCATTTTACTTGAGAAGTGTTTCTTATTCTCCTGATACAAAAGGTTTTCTGTTAGCTGTAACGGCACAGTTTGGTAATCCAAATCTTGCGAATACCTCTCGTAATTTCTATTCCACTTCTGTTGATGTGCAGTTATCCATCATGAATACTTCTGGCTACTTTGAAAAACTGTCTGTTATCAGAAGAAAGTTTTTATTGCATATTGGTCCTAGAAAATCCGAATGGATTCTTTCCCAAGGCCCTTCTGTAATCGGCAAAGGTGTTAGTTCTGCTTTTACTGGATCTGGGATCTCAAATCACCAATCATATTAGCTGTCATCTCACAGACTTTCAGTGCCAAGGAGTTATATTTCAACTTCAGCTCCTAGACATTAGAAGTGTTGTCTAGCAACATACATACTGATTTTTATGTTTGTCACAAATAAAACAGTAAATGTTTTAGTTTGTTTATTAAGTACTCAGGTTTAGTCACCGTCACTTTATACATTCAATACTTTTATAAATGGACAAACATTACTACAATTACAACTGACATGTCTCATCTGATCTATCTTACTAGCTAGTCTAACTCCCGTTCTTGCGCACTCTTGCGAGGTCAACGAGATTGATTGACAGCGCTTGTGCGCGGGAATATTCAAATGTCTTAATACATTACAATCCTCCACCCTTTGATAACACATAATCTTAAAATTTTGAGGGAGGTTTCCTATCACGTTTCACTGAATTGTTCATGTCCTTCGAGAGTTCGTCCTCTATCTGTTCCTTCAAACAATTGCTTGCTGACTGCT